TGACAAGTTCATTCACCAATCGTTACTTACACGGCTCTGTACGACGCAGGATTTGTCCTTCAGGACCTTAACTCTGAGCTCCTGAACCCACAGACGGAAAAGTTTCAGCATCCATGTTTTTCCAAACCTTCATTTGTTTAGCAGTGCAAAAGCATGATTGTAACACTAGCTAGTGGATTAGAATCTAAAGTGAAGAAAATGACAGTCTAGGATCGTGTCTTTAATTCAGACAGAAGACATGTTTTATTGTCGATGGTAGAAGCAGCATAAACAAAGACGTTACAGAATGTAAGTGATATTATACAGCGGAGGAATGGAGACTTATTAGCATTATTAACATATTAGCATTTGCCGCGGTACCCTAACCCTTACCAAAACATGTTGTGGAAAAATTCTGCCTTGTGCATATTGTTAGAATGATGAGTTAGAACGTTCACCACAGTAGCTTCAAATTGTAATGAAATATCCAAAAAAGCAAAAAAATACTCGGAAGAGTCGCATTTTCTTCATATATCAGCAGCAACTCTTGCTGGCCTGACCACCGCTTCGTCAACCGGAAGTTTATGCGTCACGTGACTGCAAGCAAGCAATAGAAGGGATTTCCTTTTCTTATAATTGTTTTTTACATTATGGAGGTATTTTGACATGACTTTTAGATGAAATCTACAGGTCCCTGTTAGCACAGACAGCTGAGTTAGCACAACAAGCGGCGGAGCTAACCTGAAACTTCCTCGTCTTCGTCACCGGTTACTGCTTACACAGCGAGACAGCCATCCAAAAGAAAGTCTTGTTCCTCCGCGCTTCCCGGTTCTATTGTTCTATGGTCACGCCATCCACGTGAAAATCCATATCCATGTATTATCCATATTGGGAGACGCTAACTCCGTCCCAACAGTGAGTGTGTGTGGGGGGCGATAGCTTCGTGGGTGCGGGGAGGGGAGCAGAAAGAGCGAGGCCAGCGAGTCCGCGGCTTCAAAATACCAAAGTCAGTTAGTGCAGCTTTAATTTCCTGAGAAGAATTTTTATTTATTTATTAAATTTAACCAAAACTGGACCAAATAAAATGTATCTTCTAATGATGTGTTGGGTTAAAATTTTAGAACATTTGGTTGTTTTCCTGTGAAAGTACATGCCTTGGCCATCCATGACCAACAATGCTGCAAGGTAATAATATTATTTGAAAATAATTTTAGGGGCCACTAAAAATGGTTTTGCAGGCCCACAAACCTGAGTTTGTCAGGTCTGATCTATAGGGTTAAAGTGAAGGGGATGGATCATTTGATCAAGTAGCTCCGACACACAGGAAGAACTTGAAGTAGAGTCGCTGCTCCTCCATGTTGAGAGGAGCCAGGAGAAGCTTAAGCATCTGTTTTGGATGCCTCGTGGAAGCCTCCCTGTCCCACCGGGAGGAGAGCCCGGGGAAAACATAGTACATGTTGGAGGAACTATAAGTATCTCAGCCGGCCTGGGAACGTTTCAGGATTCCCAGGAAGATAAGATAAGACAGACTTTATTGATCTCACACAGGAGACATTTACATGTTACATTTGGCATGGATAGAATCACTCAAGATTTGTGCAAAACACAGAAGTGTGAAAACATGTTAAAGGCAAAAAATATAGTCTTTTCAGGATCTATTATGTACAATAAAAAAGTGACAAGGAAACAGTGGCAATATGGCAATAAACAGGAAGTATGATTGTTTCTGCTCATACTGCTGCCATGTGATACAGCACTAGAAAATGGACTGATGGATTTGAATATTTATATCTATCATTATATATTTCAGCCTTTAAGACTAAAACATGCATTTGTAAAAATTATGCGCCTATAATTATTTTTTTTAAGAAGGAGAGCTTCCCAATACACATGATTCTAAAAATGTTTATTAATAAAGACGACTGGGAAACGGTGGGTTCTAGAAAGTTGGTCTAAAATGAAGGAGGTGAAAGTCAACGGAGTGATTGATCAGGATTCAATAATGCTGTTCACAAACAAGTTCTGGATTTATGGCCTTTTGCTTTTGTTGTGGATCTTATAATTGTATAATTATTGGTCTCCTGAAATGAGGAAATACATAATGCCACTAAAGACTGAGAAAGGTCAAGGTAATAGGAGACATATCCCCAAAATAAATGAGACATTACTTATTTAACCTGGTGACAGCGGACATCATGATGGAGGTGAACATCATGGAGGTGAACTGCAGCCTAATATTTTTTTACCAATTATAGAGTCCATGCATTGCATTCATTTCACTGAAGAATGTGGATTTTAATAGAAAAAAAAGGAAATAGCCTTGTGAATGCTCATTCAATATTAACCGCCATATACACTACCATGATGAATCATTTAAACAGGCTTTTGATTTGGAGATGGATTTTGTTGTTGTCCAATAGACTGACAATCTGTATGATGTTTTTTTGTTTATACACATTGAACCTAATGGATTTCCAAAATCATTTTAATGTGAATCACATTCATTGACATTTCCCAGTCTGAATTTACAGCTCTCAGATGTTTGTGCAGAGTTGCCCAAAGGGGATTTTTAGGAAAAAGTATGGGGCCCTTTTGGATTCGAGGAGTTGTTTTCATGTAATGTATTTTCCACAATGATCCCCGGTGACTTGCAGTCAAAATGCCCACTCTGAGAACCATACATCTGCTGCACAGTTTAGGGCTGTTTTCTCAGGCTTTTCACACTTACACAAACATACTGGACCTTCCATCACCAAATCCAAACAACTAAACTGCTAATGAGGAGGGAGGGAGAAAATGTTTGTGCCATAATTTTTAATTTCTGACAAAATTGAAAATGCTGAATTCCTGAGTTGAGATTCTTCAGCACAAGGCAGCACCAGTCTTCCCAGTGGAAAGGAACTCTCACAGAGTCACACTCTGATTTCCTGTGCTCAAGTAAAGAACAACCTCAGTGCCGTCTGTCATGAAACACAGTCCCTGATGTCAGTCAAACCTAAACCCTACAGTGTGGAATTCAGCTTTTAGCTGAAATTGAGAATGGCTTTGAGGTTATTTGAATTATTAACAAGCCTCTAAATAGATGGACTTTTTGGATGTGTAACAAACTTGAAATGCTCCAGTCTCTTCACAGTCTCGGGACAAGATTGCATCAAAGTGTCACAGTTTTCCTCTAGATTAGAACTATGATTAGCGGTTGAGAAACAGTAGATTTCCATGCGTTGAACACTTTCTACAAATAAAAGTTGCCTGTTCTTACCTCAGTTACATAAACAAGATTTCTACATTGTTTATTGTCTTGGTGCTCAAGCAGACATTTATGTTCATTCTCAGTTTCACTGTTGAGTTCCCAGTCCAGGCGCCTCAGTTTGTCAGACAGAGTGAAGTACCTTTGGTCCCTGTAAGATTCAGAGAAGCTCCTCTCCAGAAGCACACAGTTTTAGTGGTGAAATTAAACCTATTCCAACCCCTTATGTGAACCTATGTATCTGAGCCACAGACACGAGGATGACTTATAATACGGCAAGTGGCTTACGCTGAAGGACAACAATGACAATATTCTCAATGGTGCAAGATACAGTTGTGAACCAGCAGCTGATTTCAAATATCCATGTAGATGCATCGTGCTTGTCCTACGTCGTTTCAATACGTAAAAATATATGAAGGATGGATCTTTGTCCTCTATACTCCTCACCTTCTTCTATACGCTGGTGTTGTTGCATGAACGGTAAATCTAAATGTATTGGTACTTTATTCTCACAAAGATTCCTATTTTGATTTTTACTGCATTGTAAGTAAGTAAGTCCGCTTTATTTACATTTACGAGTTCAGATATTGTTCCGTACTCTCCACGACCCACAACAACAGAGACCATCCATTCACTTATTCATTACATTCATACGTAATGTGCATGTTTTAAGTGGAAGGGGAAACCGGAGCATCTGGAGGAAACCTACAGGCAAAGGACAACATGCAAACTCCACTCAGAAAGGCCCTAGATTCAAACCCATGACCTTCTTGCTGAGAAGTAAGAGTTCTATCCGCTCAGCCACCGTTATTCAAGCTGAATCTAAAAATCTGACTTTCTGAAGATGACTTGTTGAGAATGAAAACAAATTGACAACACTTCATGAAGCAAACTGGCACTTACAGACGTTTTTTCTGACACCTTCTTTAATTGAATCCATTGAGACTGGCAACACAAAGCAAAGCAATGTTGTTTTTAATGAAAGTGCAGCAAGTCTGTCACGTGTCAACCCTTCATACTAAGAACACATCTCAACAGCATTACACGTGAACTCCTGGAAAACATCGAGCATTTTCACATGCAATTAGTTCAGTGAAGAAGCTTTAAACGTTCTGAAATCATTGAATAAATACAGTTTTGTCCAAATACTCAAATGCAAAGTCTTCTGTTGTCGTCTTTCAGAAATATCAGTAGTATTGTGTATTAACTACATTTTCAAAGACATTAATAATCTTGAATTGCTTTTTTTCTTTGAGACTGGCCTTGTCATAAAAAAATACAATTATTAAAAAGTTGGCATTTGCACCGAGCGACCTCTTTCAATTACACTGCTACTAAAGCACCAATAAAAGATGATTCAACTAAAAGTCTGTTTGGCATCTCACTGTGCGAACCATTTGGACACGGTTGTCTGTAAGTAAAAAATAAAAATCAGAAATTTTCAACAAAATATAATTGTACAAAGAAAATATATACATAAGTACAAAAAATAAATAAACAAACCTCAAAGTTGTTGCCTTGAGACTCTGGTTTCTCACTATACTCATAAGTATCATTACTAAAAGATGGATGTTCTGGATGCACACACACAAAGTATGCAAAAAACATTGAACAACGGTAACACGGAACAGCAGTGCACACACACCTCGCACAATAATATCTAAATCATTCTTTTTGTCGTAAGTTCACAGAGGTTTCCAAAACGATACTTATTTCTCAGTAGGAAAAATAGTTTACTGCAGTTACATGCTTATGCAGTTGGTGAAAGTCCATTTCAGACGCTGGTCTCCTCTCCCTCTAGTGGTCCGACGCGACATTGCACTCCTTCCTCCGTCCACACATCCTCTATGGACGTTCTGGACCGACCTGCAGCGCCCCGTAGTGGTAAGAAGGAGAACTGCAGCAGGTGGCTTCTGTGGGAGCGGCTTTTACCTGTCCCGTTGCTGTAGCAGACCACAAGTCTGCGGTTCTCCTCGGTGGCGAGGGAGCAGCGGGCTCCCCGTGCAGCGGTGGCGTGTTGAGGCGACTCGCAGCACTGGTCCATGTCTGCCAGGTTGCCCGTAGCGATGCTGCCGCTCTTCACGTGTGGCGTTTGGCTGTAAGTGTGACGGTATTCCTCGTCAATGTCATGGCCCAGTTTCCAGCGCTTCCACTTCTTCAGCATCTCTGACTGCACCTGCGGAGGCACAGAGGCAGAAGCAGCAGATTAGACGGATGGATATCTGCTTTTAACTGATGCCAGTGCATCAAGGATGCGGAAACAGAGACACATTGTCTTTAGACAGAAGGGCACAGCACTTTCATGTTTTTTCAAGACAGGATAAGATAAAGCTCACCTCTTTGTTGACGAAGCAGTAGAGGATGGCAACAAGCAGGCCCTTCAACAAGAAGAAGATTACGTCAAAACCTTGAACCTTTTGCTTTAAAGAATAGACTAACAACAAGATAAATGTGCCACATACACAGTCAGTAAATGTGTGGAAACAAGACTTCAGGAATATGCACAATATTGAAAAATATGGGTACAGAATTGATCAATCCAAACTTCAAATTTGGGATATGTTTCTAATTACGCCAAAATCTATTGAATGATGTCATCAGTTCTATAATGTTCTCTATTTCTTGAACTTTTTTCTTTTTTCTTACACAAGTGAATAAAAGAGTATTATGTGTTTAAAGTAGTGTTCTATCTCTTCTAAAGTTCAGGGCTCAATCTTTTATCTGCTTTATATCGCATTTCTGAAATTCACAGGACATAAAAGAGGTATGTAATAATGCATTGGTTTCACTCAAAGACACTTCATCATTATTTATACACTCTGCACATGGTGGTGATAAATTACTACTGTAGCCACGGCTGCCCTGGGGCACACTGACAGAAGCGAGGCAACCAGTATGTGCCATTGGCCCCTCCGACCACCACCAACCATTCACACACACACTAGACTCATTCTAGGCAATGGGGGTGAAGTGTCTTGCCTAAGGACACAACAACAGTTCGGCACTTTACAGCCGCAGCCGCCCCACTGTGGCACCTGATGTTCCCTGAGGTCACACATTGTCATACAGCCAACTTCAGCTTCACAAATATATGCATGTTATACCTCATTGTAAAGCCCAGAACCTCTGGCATCCTGTCGTTGACTTTATCTGTATTTATACTCTATACTGATATTTGTATTTGATTGGGTCACAGCATTCTGAATATGGCACTAATGTCGCTGTCTTCAGTTGTTGAATCAATATGGACATGACACACTTAATTTCAAAGCTCAGAACAGGTGAAAACAGTTTTGAATCCATATTGTTGGCTCCTGGACACTTTTGGCCAACTACCCCTGGCATACACCGATCCAAAAACACGGCACATGAATAATGATGAATGTATGCAACATGTGAGTACTTTTTAAACAGTATAAATCCCAGTGCAACAGGAGGAGTGCACAGACTGAAGAGCTCAGAACCTCTGACCTGGAAGGAGTTGAAGAGGAGGTCACAGAAGAGACGGACGAGACGCAGCACGGAGCCTTTAGGGACCGACTCATCGATGACAAACGTGAACAGGATGGCGTGAATCCCCAGGAGAGGAATCAGCGTCAGGGTGGACTTTGCTAACCTATGGGAAATAAGGACATCATATTTATAGTTTGAATGAACATGTGTAAGTTACTACTGTAAGTTACTACAGATACATCTTAACTATGAACTTCCAGTGTGTTCCTGTATGTCCATGTCACACAGCTCCACTAGCTAGACTGCATGTGCTGCTAATAGAGACCAAACCAGCTGGATTTCACTAAAAGAAACTGGCAACCAAAATGATGGATGATTGGTTTGACTCTGAGAACTTTCTGATTGGGTAATTTGTTTGAGAAACCTTAGCATGGCTAAGGTTTCTCAAACAAAGGTTAGACTCCCACTGATGACTGCTGTCGTTGTGTCCTTGGGCAAGACACTTAACCCCACTTTGCCCAAAGCCCCCACTGAAAGATCAAGGCTATGCTCACACTCAGAGAGCAGCCGTCCTCCTGTGGACTCACCACCTGCAGAGGATCAGTGAGGGGCTGGTGCTATGAGACTTGGGTGGCATCTCTGATTGCCACCCCCCTGACCCAGAAATGGATTAAAGGGTAGAAAATGGATGGATGGATGGACCTTAGCATGGCTATTGTTGTAAGAAAAAAAAACAGAATTCATATTTTTATCAGAAAAAAAAACAGTACTAAATGTGACATTTTTACCTCCAGGGACACAGAAAAAGTTGGACATGAAATTCAAAACCATTCAAGAGATTTTGCACAGTCCACAGGGTGTGGAAAATACACTTTCAATCAGGGGTGCCAAACTCCTTTTGGTTGAGTGTCATTTTTAAAACATAAGAGCTGCTTGGGACCAGAAGTATAAAAGTGTAAGTGTAGATTCAACCAGAACTGGGCCAAATATAAAGAAGCGATGTAGTAGAAGACTGATAATTAAATATAAAAAACTATAACATCTAATTACATTTCTGTTAACCTTTCAGAACAGATTCAATCCTAGGGTTGTTTTCCTGAGATAATAGGCATTAAAATGAAGTATAACATGCCATAGTAGCCTATCACCATCAATGCTGAAAGTTGCTGTGATAAAGTAAATTGTAAATATTTTCAGGGGCCACAAAAAATGCTCTCGCGGCCGGATTTGGCCCACGGACCAGAGTTTGACATGCTTGCTTGAAATGTTTGTTGTTCACTTGTTGAATAACTTGCCTGAATTTGTAGTCTGTGTATCTCATCTGGTGCGCTCGAAGTTTAGACATCAGTATTTTGATGATCCTGATGAATATGAAGAAGTTGATCTGAAACAAAACAAAAATCCTAACATTTTAAACAATCTCAAAAAACACTTTTAACGCTGAGATTAAGAAAAGTAAACTGCAGATCATTGTCCATGTCGTATGAGTTCAATCATTGATAATACCAGAAAATTGCAATGATCTCAACAACTCTAGGATTCCAAGAAATACGAACCTGCTAGTATTCCTGGAGCTACCAGTTTTCAGATTTTTCCCTGAAAACAGTGTTTCATTTTTCCACCAGATGTATTTAAGTCAGTAATGTATAAGTGCTAAACCGGGTGAATATAACTTGAAAGACAGCTATAACAGTTTGTCCATAATTCCAAAACCAGTCGAGGACCACCTAGGAAAAAGGGCTGGGCTTTATCTGCCAAAGAAAGAAAGAAACCTGAAAAGACTGCATTTGAACTAAAAATAACATAAGAGCATTTCAGGAAAATAATGATATATAAATGAACTACATTGTCATGGAGTGGATTTTGCTTTATTTTGACATTTGTTCTCCAGTGGTTTTGTTTTAGTTTTACTTCCTGTCTCGTTCCGCCATCGATTGCAGGCCCCGCCCAAAAGTGTTTTACTTGAGTCTGTGGCCCCGTCCCAATACTCGCACTTCCACCCTCGCGCCCCTCATTTGCGCGTTCCCGATGATGGGTGCTTAGGGTGTCCCGATCCTCCAGGGAGGTCTTTCGCCCCAAACCTAAGCGGACTCTGGCGAAGGATTTTACCCATAATTCTTTGCGGTACACACCAAAACGTTGGGAAAACGCATTTAAGTTTTGAAATATAAATGCTGTATGTGTGTAACTACATTTTGCTATGTAACTTGGAAAGAAGCATAAATGTTTGATGAAGAATTACGGACATTTTATGGTAACAAAATTTCATAACTTTTTAAAGCAAGCGTTCATATAACATTCAATTTAAACTTTACACTTAGTACAATGAACTTAGGATGTATACAAACTGACCAGATAACAGTTAGTTACACACATTTAACTTAAAATTAGACAGCTATCTCAAATTACGAATAACCAATATACATGTATTTCAACGTGTGTGGAGCTACTCATTTTGTTTCCCACAGGGTCAGACAAAATGACCTTTAATTTTTATAAAGTTTAGGTCTGAAAATGAACATCTTTTAACTAGCCGATGACGTACTGTAACCTGCACTGTCCCAACTCCGCCTGCGCACTCAAACCCTTGTGTGCACTTCAAACTAATGCACACTTTGTAGAGGAGTGTAGGGTGCAGTGTGGGTATTGGGACAGGGCCTCTGTCTATATGTACCCGTGCTCCTCTCCCCTTGTTGCTCGGCCATTGTCTTTGTTTGCCTGTGTTATACTCGCCGTTTGTATTTTGAGTCCGTTTTTACCTTTGACATTTATTTTATCATCTTCATTAACTCATTATAATCGATCCTGCATGTTGAGTCCTCCTTCTTTTTCAAATGTGACTTAGACCAAAATGGTACATACGCGACAAACTTACACTTCCAAAACTAAAAGCCATCAAATTGACTGCTTTGGAAGTTCAAGTATTAAAAGATGGACGCCCGTTGCCTCTGCATGGAAACTTAGCAGCACACAAGCAAACTCACTGTCCAGATCCATACATTCCCCTCGTCACACACACACACAGTAGATCATATAGTGTTTGGTACAAATGTTCTCTGACTTGGCTCTGCGCTTCATCAATGTGTCAGTTGAAATATTTGTGTGTTTATCCAATATATATGAAAATGAATAAACCATTTTGGCCTCTCTGGAGAAGTCTCAGAGCAGCAGAAACAAAGAAAAGCACAAACTTACCAAGCATGCAAAAAGAATAGGAGAGCGGATGATCCACCAATATCCCATGTTGGTGTTCCTCTCCCAGCACCTGCACACACACAATACCTATAAACCATAGACTGTGGACTGACCGAAGTGATGTCACCCATAGAGTTTTCCTGAAGAAACCAAAAGAGGTTGCTTCTCTCATACTGTAGCAACCTCATAGTAACCAAAAAGCAAATAAACAGGGGAGCTTTGCTAGCTGAACCAATCCGATTGGTCAGGTATTATTGGTCATACAGTGTATCTTGATTTACAAATATAATATTAAAGGCTTATTAAACAAGCGCGAGGTCTGTACAGAGAAATATCAGACTGCGGCCAAGGTCTGATATTTCTCTGGTTAATAAATGTTTTATTATAGGCCTATTTTTAATTTATGCAAATATTGATCTCCAACTTGGTTTTCCTAATCGTGTTTTTAGCTTTCTGGTCTGTAACGAAGTTGTCAATCTCTTCTTGACTGTTAGGAGTTGTGTTTTCGTCGTTATTTGCTGTTATTACTTCCTCTGGCTCTTCAAAGTCGTCGCTCATTCTTTTTTTACCGAGGAAAGATATCAAATGTGATACACGCTGCGGACGAATTGTCATGGTAACGGTCCGAGATGGGAAAATATCAGAACGCAAATCAGCCAATCAGAGCGCGCGTACGATCCAAGTCATATAATAATGACGGCTTATTAAACGAGCGCAAGGTCTGTACAGAGAAATACCAGGCCGCGGCCTTTTTGTACAGACCGAGCCGTGGCGAGGTTTGTGCAAAAAGACCAAGGTCTGATATTTCTCTGTACAGACTGAGCAAGCAAGGTTAATAAATGTTTTATTATATGACTATTTTTAATTTGTGTAAATATCGATCGGTTTCAACTAGCAAAAACACATGCAACCAAACTGTCCAATCACCATGATTGAGGTCGCCCGCTGGTACGTTCTCAATCTCTTCTGTGTCTTTACCAATGCTTTTTAGATATTTGTGAAGTATGTTCATGTCCGACTTGGTTTTCCTAATCGTGTTTTTACCTTTCTGGTCTGTAACAAAGTTGTCAATCTCTTCTTGACTGTTAGGAGTTGTGTTTTTGTCGTTATTTGCTGTTATTACTTCCTCTGGCTCTTCGAACTCGTCCGGATAATAGAATTCACTGGAGAATGCTCCCAGTCGTTGCTCATAATTTCTTTTTTACAAAGGAAAGATATCAAATCTGATACACGCCAATTGTCATGGTAATGGTCCGAGATGAGAAAATATCAGACGGCAAATCAGAGCGCTCGTACGATCCAAGTCATATAATAATATTGCATATTTGTGTGTCTGTGTTTTTGTTTTGTTTTTGTGTTGTATGGAATCTTTCTGTGTCTGAATTAAAGATAATAATAATATGCAAGGTAATAATAATAAAAATAATAATATCAAAGTACAAAACTTGAGTCGCACAAGCAAACAAGAGGTTTTAATGAAAGAAAATGTATATTTGCTATAAGCATAAAGACTTGGGTGGGTGTGTGATAAAAGATACAAGTACAAAGGATAATAACCATGGTTCCTTTTGTACCTTTTGACTATTGTGATATAATGTATATTCTTTAGATATAGGCATTAACACTTTGGTGAGTCATTAAACTATTAGAATAATTAAGAATGTATTATAAATAGAACTTACTCCTCATTCTCATAAAGGTACTTGACGGTGATCCACGGAGACACAAAGATGAGAGGTGCACCTGCGGACAGAGTGGACTAAGTTAATAATACTCAAACTGCTGCTGTTTGGCCTCTGGCTTTTACAGATTGTGTTTTGTTGTTGTTTTACAGGAAACTAGAGATGGACATTTCTGCTATAACTCTGTAAATGATTAGTTTTGTACTATCAAGGGACACATTCTTGAAAAATATGTACAAAGCATTCAAGGGGAGCTCAAGGAAAGCTTTGAATGTCTTCATTAATCTCTTTCAACTGTTTTTGAGTCCTTCAGTGACAAACAATGAACATACAAGTTATAAAAGCCACACATTTATGTAAGTAAATAAAGTTATAGCAAAATGTACAGTAAATAAAATGATATGACAGTAAGGAGTTGTTTTTATCTTGGTGCATACATAAAGAAACTGCTAATGCACATTTTAGTGAAATGCTAATTTTGGGCTCCGAATACTTTTCTTTAACTGTTATGTTTATATGTAATACATATTTTCCCATGTGTGTGTAATTTATAGATATATACAGGTTTATCCTATTTTGATTTTTATGATTTTACTGTTTTACTATGGATTTGTTTTAACTAGTCTTTTATTGTGCAGAACTTTGGAAACAGTGTTTATGAAATGTGCTATATAGATAAAGTGGATTGGATTGGATATATTTTCACTCTCTTGTAAAAGGACAAATGTTGCCTAACTGTGAAAGATCATTAGATTCACATTGCTGGGTTTGATGGTAAATTCACACAAAGGAACCCAAAGTGGATCATTCATGTTCAGTTAAGATCACAGAGATTCCTTTGGGAACACAGAGTGGTCCTTCAGAAGTGACTAATGCTGCTCTCACCCCAGCCGATGGCCAGATAGCTGTAGAAGTACTTCCTCTCACTGAACACAGTGATGACCAGCAGACTGTGCAGGTAGATTCCCTCCACCAGAAGCCAGTAGTTATTGGCCATGACGCTGTACTGCATCATAACCATGGCTCCTCGGCACCACATCACCGCCTGACACACAACACACGACAGACATCTTCACATGGTACTTCATTACTCACACGCACCGAGGTCTTCATGTTATCCAACAACCAACACATTGTCTCAAATGCTTGACAGTCAGAATATCTGTCCTGACATTAGTAATCAAATTGATGCTGTTCTGCACACACAGAGCTATACAGATATTGGCTTCAGCTGCAAAAGGGTTAATTTACACAATATACAAAATAACTGTGATCTAACAGTGAGTGCATTTACAAACCATAAGAGTATGTTCAAAAACTGTGCTCAATTCTATATGATTTTCAAATCTGAAAAGTTTTGATTGATCCTGAGCAAAATGAGTCCCCTCTACATTGATTTCTATCAAAAAAGTTTGGCTTTTGTCTGTTTACCTTTCCCTTATCCCCAAATGCATCTTTGCCCGATAGATGTGTTTACATGCAGCTCACCCGCATTAGAATCAGGTGCACACAGTTTACATGTGTCTTTATCAATTTAACTAAATTGAATTAGGTGGAGCTTGCTTTTACAAGCGCTTTGTAAATGCACTAGTGTCTACTTCCTGGATGTTTTATTTAGATTGGAACTTCCTGTTCTGTATCATCTACCACCTATTCCTGCCCATTTTTCTCCATTCAAAATTAGAATTGCTGAGTTCTGGTGAAGATTGGACTGAGCTTTCTACTGTATCAGCCTGATGTGGTGAAGAGGGAGCTAAGCTCTTGATTCCCTCCCTCACCTATGACCATGAGCTTTGGGTAATGACTGAAAGGACGATAACGTGAATACAAGCAGTCAAAATGGGCTTTTTCGGCAGAGTGGCTCCTCAGAGATAGTGTGAGGAGCTCAGTCACAAGGTTGGAGCTTGGAGTAGAGCCACTGCTTTTATGTCTCTAGACCCTCATAGTGTACCACATCATTAGTCAAATCAGCAGATGAATTTGTGTGAATCCAACTGGTCTAATATGAGATTACAATTAGTGGATCACCGGTATATTGGCCCAGGAGCGTGGCCGTGTGCTGCTGGTGCTGCGGGGGTCGAGGGTGAGGCTCAGCAGAGCGTCTTTCACCAGGATGGACACCGCTCTGAGGATGAAGGAGGCGAACAGGTTCATGTGGATGTTGTTTCTCATACAGTGGAGCTTCCTGCACAGACACAAAGTGGAGTGTCCTTTAACCTCAGAGTGTAATGAAGCCTCATGATACATGTGTGAGGCAAAAACAATTACATTAAAAACAATGATATATTTATTATGTGTTTATTTGTTAGGGGCAGAACAAAAAGCATTGGTACAGGAACCGATGCTATGTTCTTAGGCCGTATAGCTTACAGTTAGTTTGCAGACCTGGTCCCTAAGACATAGAAATACATCACATTTACATGTACATTTATCATTATATTATAAAATAAGTAAATAGATAATACTAAATAACAAACAAAAGAAAATAGCCCCACAGATTACATAGTACAGAAAATGTGCAATAGATGATTAGAGTCTTTGCGCTCACAAGTTTGGTTCCTTTTGAGCCATTGTTTGACTTTTAATTTTAAACTCCTTCAGGTCTGTTAGAGCTTTCAAATAACAATTAGACTGATATTGGTTGGATGTGATCTTAACTAACTTGGCACAATGTTCATGTTGTGACAATACATGTGATTACAAATGATTTACGCTTTTTTGAAAAGGCTTTATCACAGTGTTTTAAGGGACATTTATGCATATTTCAAAACATTGTTGCACATTGGTCATCCTGCTCCTTTTGGACCAATGGCTCCCATGCTTTTGTCATCATTGCATTTCCTGTTTTTGAACTGGTTGATTCTCTGATCTGTTGTTGGAAAATCAACAAATTTGTAAAGTCCTCCGAGATGACTGCTGTTTGTGATTTAGGGCTATACCAAAATACATTGAAATGAATTGAAATGCCACCTGCTGCAGAGTCTGTGACAAAAGGGAATATTAATCCTAAAACGCTGTGATGGCCCAAGTGGGCCCTCTTATTTTGACTGCTCACTGCTGTTTAACCAGTCAGGGCAGGAGGTTGGGGGCGTCGCTGGGCCCAGGCTCCACCTGTCCTCCTCAGCATAAATGGAGCACAGCTGGCAGAGTGTCTGCCCTCCCTGCTGCCCAGAACACCGACTGCTCCACTTTTACCCTTGTTTAGTGTAGCGTTTGAGCTACTGGGACAGCCTCTCACCAGGACGGGAAACAAACAAAGATCCAAATGTTGCAGATTTTCACAAAAGAAGTCTTATTTATTTGGGCAGCATCCCCCCATGCACACAACAGGAACACACCGTTCAAATGGAATCCTCCTCTTTTTATACAGTGGCCCAAACCAAAACCTCCACCCGCCCAGGGACACAACAATGTAGCCTTACACTATTTACAAAATATTTATAACTATTTACATCTTTAATCTATGCAGATATATTATAAGCATAATTTATAGTAATTTGAACTTAGTGGTGGTGTTTGTTAACAGGCATGGTATTTGAGGTATGTATATATTATGTTTAGTCCCAATGAAACACCCCTCTCTTGGAGGATCATGGTGGAGCCCAGCTGATTGCTCAGTTGGGTGCACCTGGCATGCACTGGGATGGGCGCGCCTCCAGCCAGCTCCTCCACCAATCACCTTCCAAGAGGGGAAAAGGGAAAGTTAGGGACAGGGAATATAAACAAAGCTGAATATTTCAAAATAAAACAGGAAGGATACACCTGTGGGTGAGGAGTGGGAACTACTCCTTCACATTTCCTCCCCCTTCGGAAGACACGACCTCCTGGCCGCGGCGGCACAGTCTCACAGTCTACCCCAGGCCCTCCTTTTGCCATTCTTTGTGACCCTCCGATGCGCTGCTCCTGGACATTCGTTCAAGCCTGAAGATCTTTGGCCCACGCCGGGCGGATAGAAAGTTCTCCACCAACTCTGCTGCTTCACGCCCAGAGGTGGGATTGCGCTCCTTCACCCAGACCCTCAGCTCTGGTGATAGTGAACGGTACAACTGTTCCAAGACTAGGGCTTCACCAAGCTGCTCCTTAGTCTTCTTCTCTGGCTGCATCCACTTCAAATACAAGTCTTTGAGGCGATTATAAAACTCTCTTGGCGTTTCTCCCGGCTGCAGGTCTGGCTCACGGAAGCGCTGGCGATAGACATCTTCATTTATCTCATACTTTATCAGCCTCCTTCACCTTCTTGTAGTTGCAGGATTCTTCACAATCCATGGCCACATAGGCTGCCCGGGCCCTTCCCGTCAGATATGGGACGAGCCTCACTGCCCACTCGACCACTGGCCATTGATATGCGGTCGCTAGGCGTTCAAAAGTGGTGAGATATTGCTCAATATCATCACTGTCCTCCAGCTTTGGAATCACTGACTGGGCCCAGCCTCTCCCCGAATGCTCCCGTAGCGTGGGAGATTGGGGCTCCACTTCTTCCTGTTGTTGTACATGGGGGTGTTGAGGACCACGCCTCGCAACTTCGGTCAGGCCCTCTCTGAGTCGGTGAACCTGTACCTCCATCTCCTGCCATCGTTCCTCCTGCTTCTGCGTTTCTTCATTCCAACGCTTGCTCAGGTCAGACTGGAACGTAAGACATTTTCGCAACATGCAAACTAGGGTTTCGAAGTCTGCACCCATAAGTGTCTCTGCCTTGGCGGGCTCTCCTCCAGCAGCTCCGCCCCCTTCGGAATCACTATCTGGGGTGATTTCCGGTTCTGCGGGTTTTGGTACCTTTTTCGGCCCCATCCTCGTCCTGTGAGTCTCAGCAGATTGGCACGACAATCCCACTTCTGACACCACGTGTAGCGTTTAAGCTACTGGGACAGCCTCTCACCAGGACAGGAAACAAACAGAGGCCCAAATAAATAAGACATATTTTGTGCAAATCTGCAACATTTGGACCTCTGTTTGTTTCCTGTCCTGGTGAGAGGCTGTCCCAGTAGCTTAAACGCTACATTTAGTTTAGTTGATTTATCCACATACTGATTCACCTCACATACAGACTACACTGCACACACCACTGATACACCTTCATATCATTTTTGTTAAATAAATACTTTAAAAACGTCGATACTTGTGTGGTCTCCCCTCATTGTTGCTACTCCTGAGTTGTAACAATGCAATTCAATCTGGAGAGACTTTGAGGAGACAAAATGTATTTGAAGTTTTTTATTGAAAGATAGTTTGGCGCCCTAGGCCCCGGTGCGGCGTTCAGTCAGCGAGGCTCCTGCGAGAGTGCGCGCACAATCCCCCGGGACTTAGGCACTGGTGGCGGCATTCGGGCAGCAGGAAGAGGCATGATTGAGGCAGGGTGAGAAAAAGGAGGAGGAGGGGAGGCGGTGGTTTGCAAGGCTTCGAGAAGGCCGTAAAGTGGGAGTTTCTCCGCTTTTAAGCGGCTGGCCTGGCCGGCATAGGTTGGTTGGAACTGGGCGTTTGCTGTGCGATAGGCTGGGGCTGCGAGGCCGGCCTGGAAGGGGTGGCTTTGGCTGACGTCTTCCAGAATTGAATTTCCGCGAGGCTGCATTTCAATCTGGAGAGACTTTGAGGAGACAAAATGCATTTGAAGTTTTTTATTGAAAGGTAGTTTGGCGCCCTAGGCCCCGGTGCGGCGTTCAGTCAGCGAGGCTCCTGCGAGATTGCGCGCACAATCCCCAAAAGGCTGTGCGTTTGATGGGGTTTTAAGGCAGGCCTGGTTAGCAGGGGACAGACGAACGTGCACCGCTATATATAAAGGCAACACTATTTATAAATGCAACACTATTTATAAAGCAACACTAATTATAAAGGCAACACTATTTATAAATGCTCGGCTGCTGCCGCCACCAGGGAGTTTTGCAAGCTTTACGGAGATGCCAATAGACGCTGGGCTGCCAGAATGGTCGAAGTGTCCGGCCTGATGTATGAGGAGAGGGCAGATGATGACCAGCGACCCAACTGCTGAAGGGCAGAATGGGGGAGTCCCAGGGAAGCAGCGCGATTATAAAGGCAACACTATTTATAAAGGCAACACTATATAAATGCACCGCTATATATAAAGGCACACTATTTATAAAGGCAACACTATTTATAAAGGCAAAACTATTTATAAAGGAAACACTATATATAAATGCACCGCTATATATAAAGGCAACACTATTTATAAAGGAAACACTATTTATAAAGGAAACACTATATATAAAGGCAACACTATTTATAAAGGCAACACTATTTATAAATGCACCATAATACCCAACCAAAAAAAAACCCACCAAATAAAACCCAACAATAAAATACCCCAACAAATAAAACAAACCTCATAATAAACCCCAAAATATACAACTATAATACCCAAACCTAATAATACCAACTCTATAATACCACCCCAAAAAAAAACCCAATATAACTCAATACTCTAAAACCAAAACATCAAATTAAATTAAAAATTATCATCTCACCCAATACCTTATAAATCAAATCTACACCATCTATCTCATTCAAATAACCTAATCAATTATTACATTCTAATTAAACCCCTCACTAATTCACACCCTCCACTAATTAACCTACTAATTTACTACTAATATAAACCCTCACTACTTCAACCTACTAATTCAATACCTAATTTTAACCTACTAATTAACCTATACCTTAACCTCCACTAATTTATCCACCTCCATCCACCAACTAATTTACACCTACTAAATATCACCAACTAATTCAACCCTATAATTTACACCCTATACATTCACACCCTCACTAAATCCACCCTACTAATTCAACCACCCCAATAATTTAACCTACTACATTCAACCTCAAATTAACCTACTAATTAAACCTAAAAAAATAATTAACCTACTAATTAAACCTATACATTTAATACTAATTTAACCTAATCCAATTAACTACTACATTTAAATCACTTATTATACACATACTCCATTAACCCTCACCTAATCTTAACCCCCCTACACAAATTTAACTAATACCCATTTAACCCCTAGATTTACCACTTAATTTAACCCTACCTACATTATTAACTCTATTCTCTAAACCATACTTCAATAAAAAACACCCTCACTCACACCACATCACCCCACAACACCCTCCACCCCAAACATCTTACCCTATAAATAACAATCACATATAATCTATTATATCAACACTCAATAATAATCTTCCACCCCCAAATACCTTTAATCTTCTACCTATAATACACTTTTCTCCCACCCCATCATCACCAACAAACAAAACACACCCCAATTACTATCACCAAAAATCCTTCACTTCCATCCAACACAAATAAAAACTTCAACCCAATTAAACCCAAATTACCCTTCCACTCCCCCCTAAACTAACCACACCTCCCAACCCATCCCCCCCAACCAATAAAAACCTCCATATCCAACCCTTTAACCCTAAAACCTAATCTAAATCAACTATATAAAAAAAAAATACACCCACACATAACAATCAACTCTACTACCATCCCCACCCATAACACATCATTAATTCCCTTACATCATCATACCCTCCATAAACAATCCTACTCCCCCACAATCCACCCCCCCCTCACTTATTAAATACCCCAAACCCCTATTCAAAACCAAAAAAAATACCAAATACATCTTCCCAATATACACTACCTTCAATTAAAAATATAATCTACCATCAACTCTCACTACATCAACTTCCCAACCATTATAACCATCATCTATAATATCTACAAATAACCAATTCTCCTTAACATCAAAACCAATCTCTACAAATTCCCCACCTCCACTAATAAAATACATAAATACCCCTCTACCATAAAACCAACTTTACCACTCTATCCCTCACATATATTCTATCCTATCACCTTATTATATTATAACACATATAAAAAATATTATAACTCTACCCCTATCACTTAACACATCAAACTTCATCAACTCTTATTCATTTATAATAACCCACCTCACCTCCCTTATAAAAATATACTATCTAAACATCACCCTTAAAACACACCCATATTTACTACACAAACTATCTAATCTTCTATAAATTTTCTTTCTATACATATAAAAACCATAAATCCATTCAACCAAAACCATACCAAACATACCCACAACAATACACACCAAACCAATAAACCCAAATCCACAAACTCCCAAAACCCAAACCCACCATAACAACCCCCACCACCAACCCCCCCCCACCCCCCACAACCCACCCTAACCACAACCCCCACCAACACAACACAACCCACAACACACAACACAACCCCAAACCCCCCACAACACCAAACCCCACAACACCACCCACCCACCAACACCACACCACACACCAACAACAACCAACAAACACCAACACAAACCCACCCCCCCAAACCCAAACCCCAAAAACACCACAACAAACAACCCTCCACAATCACTCACACCCAAAAACAAAACTCAAAAAAAAACAACCACACCCCCCCCAACCCCACCCCCACACCCACCCAACCACCCCCCCAACAACCCACCAATCAACAAAATATTACATAACCCCCTCACAACACTACCCTATACATCCACTCCAAACTAAAAAACACCAACCTAACCCAAACACCACTACACCCAATCCAAATAAAAAAAAACACCCCAAAACACCCACAATCAACCATACTCACCACTTATCCCAAATAATCACACTACCAAAACACCCCACCCAAAACAAACCTATCATCAATCTAAACAAACCCTACACTCCAACAAAACAACCATTAAAAATAACAAACCACCCTCCTTAAATTTACACACCCTACAAAAAACAAACATCATAATAAATACAAAAACCAAATTTCAACCCAACCCCAAACTAAACACAATTTAACAAAAATTCCATACTAACTCTCCTCTAAACTACCCAAACTCCATTATTCCAATCTACATCCCCCTAATTATACCATTTAAATTAATCATATACCACCCCCCATCTATAACCTTCAAAATCATTACTAACTCTCATACTATAATACCACTCCAAAAAAATCAAAAAAACACCCAATTCCCCCCCCCACACCAATCATCCACTACCAAAAAAATCCCCACCCTTCACATCCATCCCCCCCACCTCCCAATATACACATCATATTAAACAATAATCCTTTACAACTTACCCCAAAATAATCCCCCCCCCATCCCATCCCCCTTATCCTTAACATAAAAATATAACAAACATAACAACCCTAAACACACACCCAAAACTCCCCTATACAAAAATAAAACAACTCACCCATACCACCCACAAATCTCCCCAACCACAACCCCACCCCCACCCCCCAAACAACAATTATTAATTTCTCTATCCCCTAATATTAACCAATACCTTACATTCATACTCTCTTCATATCTCTAATTAACAAAACCTCTTAAACATTAAATTCCCAACTTTTTTACTTCTATTCTCCATCCCCATAACTTCATTACTATTATTCTATCCAAACCACCTCACTTTTATCATTAATTCATTTAAAATAACAACTTCAACTAAATCCTCCTCCTCAACCAACACAATTACCTTTAACACCCCTCATATCAACCATTAACTATCAACCCCATAATCCACCAAAACCCTCCCTCCTATAACCCATACTACACCCCCTAAAACAACTCTAAATACACCACCAAACAAAATTCAATCAATTCCCTCCCCTTCACCACACTCCCCAATACTCATCCATACATATCTCAATTTTATAACAAATAACTCAAATCCAATCACACTAAAAATATAATATAATAAATATATATATCTATATATCTAATATAAATCTATATATATATATTATATATATAACAATCACAAAACATTCCAACCCACATTCACTAAACACCCACTCCACCTCTCACCACATCTTAAAATCTATCCCACAACTCAACATATTCTAAATTAAAAACAAACTCAAATCCAACCATACCCCCACCACCTACACCCACCCCCTTTCCCCCACATACATCCCCCCACATCTTAACAAATTAACCCACTCTAATAAAAAAAACCCAAAAACCACAAAACCATCAAAATAAACATACCTACTAAACAAAACAAACAACAAACAACCAACCCCCAACACAAAAAACCATATCTACTTTCTTCTTTTACTACCACTCCCATACTAACCTATAAAACTCAACTAAACCCCCCCTAAAAACATACAAACCACACAACAACTAATTAAAAACAACACCAAACCCTCACCACCTCTCAACTCCAACCAAAACATACCACCCCTAATCCCACCCTCCCACTCAACCACAACAAACTACACATACAAAACCCCTCACACAACAACCCACAACATACCTCCAATCAAAAACATAACCCTACCTACCCCAACAACCCAAATCAACCCCCTCCATCACCACCCTAACTCCCTCCATCCCATCACCCCCCCACCCTATCCTCTCCATCACCCTACTCACAACACCTATTTTTACAAAAAAAAAACACAATCATATAAATATTTCCCCCCTTTATATACTACCAACCTACACAAATCCCTTCACCAAAAAATTTATTACAAATAATAATCATTCATTAATACAAAAACAAAAAATAATCTATCAACCCATATCCTCTAACCCAAACCTATCCAAACCATAACAACAACAACCCACTAACCCAAAAAAATAAACCCTATCTTACTAAACCTCTCAACTAACACACCCCCCATACCAACAACCCCCAACTATAACCTTTACAACACAAAACCCACATCACCCTAAAACACACTCAAATATCAAAACTATCTTACCACAACCATCCACACCCCACCACCCCATCACCACCACCACACCACCCCTCTAAAACATAACCCTATTATCACCACACTATCCTCATATTTTCCATCATCTTCTTCCATACTCACTACCCCCAACCCCCTACATATTTTTTTCCAAATCAAACCTTCACTAAATCTCAAACTTTCTTACCTTCACAAAACATTTTATTACACATTAAAAATATCATCCACATCCCACTACCCATAAATAATAATTATCTTTTCCCCCCTAATATAACTCTACTCTTTCTTCTAATATACACTCTACTCTGCTTCTACATTAACCCTTACCTTCATCTTCTTACCATATAACATCTACTCCTTATTCTTTATATCCATTTACTCCTTTACTAATATAACTCTACTCTTCTTCTCATTAACCCATACTTCATCTTTAATTTATATAACTCTACTTCTTCTTTAATATAACTCTACTACTTCTTATAATATAACTTATCATCTTCTACATATAACTCTACTCTTCTTCCTAATATAACCTCTACTCTTCTCCTAATATCACACTTACCTCTTCTTCCTAATTACACCTTATCTTCATCTTCCTAATATACACCTAACTCTTCTTTAATAATACACTTACTCTTTTCTAATATATATTCAATCCTCCTTTAATATAAACTTACCTACCATAAACACTAAACACAAACTACACCAATAACAAACAAACCAACCACCAAACAATAACTACCATCAACCTTCCTTATACCCAATATAATACCATATTAATACATCCATAACCCTATTCTCTTACCAAACATTAACAAATTATACAAAACATTCCCATTTATCTAATCACAAAAAAATATACAATACACTTTTATCCTTCACCCCACATAAAAATTTACTATCCCCTCAATCTCCTCAACTACTAAAAACCAACACACCCCCTCTAAATAATTCACAAATAAAATCATACCCCACTATCCATATCCTCTCTAACTCTCACTCCTCCCCATAATCTTCACCTTATTCACACAACACAAAAAAAACACTAAACCCTAATATTTCTTAAAATATTACCCCCACCCACTTATCACTCAAACAAACTTTTACAATCTCTTAAAATTCCCCCCCCCCCTTTACTATCTTCATTCATCTTCTCTAAATAACCAATCCAAAAACTTCATTCATTTTCTTTCTCCATATCTTTTTATCTATTCTTATAATAATTTATCCTCTTCATCCTAATTCCTTCTATCATTTTAATTTCTTCATCTTTTACTTCCTAAACCCCCCCCACTATCTACTTTTATTCCTTCCTTTCACCTCACAATTTCTTTACACAATTACACATTTCACACAATAATATACCATCCAACACCACCAAAACAAACCCCCATAACACCTAAAATTCCTTAATCTTCTTTCAAAAATAAAAAAAAAAACCATTCCCCACCCCCCACAAATCATCCCCTCTCCAATATACCCCCTCACTACTACACTCACACAACCCAACCCACCACCTCACTCCTCCAACTAAAAATCATTCATTTCCAATCCCTCCTCTTAACACCATTTTCATCATAATAACATCCAACATCTAAAAACACAACATAAAAACCCATTCATTAAAAAACACACAACCTTAAACTCCATATCATCATAAATTCACTTCAAAAAAAACCTACCCCATCAACCACAAACCACCTAAAAAAACATACCACAATACACCCAACAAAAAAAACCAAAATAAAAAATAAACTCATCATCTACTCACATTCATCAAATACATATCAATATCACCTTATATCCACCTATAATCTACTCCCTCATCTTATAAACCTATCACTTACACTACCCAAAACCACCTTCATCATATACACCTTATCTTAAAAAAAAAAATCACTTAACACAATCCTCAAACACTCACAACAACAACCTTATACCCACTACCCTTAAAAATAACCTCATCTAAATCAATCATCATAAAAAAATTCCCATCCAAAAACACACACATTTATATCACTTCACCTTATCAAACAACTTCATCTAAAAACTCCTCATCTTAATAATAAAACTATACAAATATACACACATTAATATACCATAACCCCTTAAAACACCTTCATCTATACTACTTCATCTAAATATCACATACTTATACTCACTTATCTTAATACACACTTACATAAAATACTTCACCTTCTACTAAACTTATTTCATAATACATTCAATTATCCATCTTTCATATATACACCACCACCCCAAACTCACCCCAAACCCATAAACCATCACCACTAACAATAATCATAAACTAACAACACCCCACTCATTCACAAACTCAACATCCCTCATTAAATTAACATAAAAAAACACTACACTCCCTAATTCCACCCCCAATAATACACAATCCACCTATACCTATTAACTACTATTTACTATCTATACTCATCTTCTATTCAATCCCTCATATTCTCTCTAACTCTATTCAATAAAAAAATACCCCCACCAAAACAACTCTAAAAACCACACCCCATAAATCCTCATAACATACTAAATCCACACCTTTCACACAATCTACATCAAAACCCCTATAATACCCCCTCCCCAATCCTACAAAACCAAAATTCAAAAAAAAACACCCTAAACATCAAAAAAACCCCTCACTACCCACTCCCTAAACAACATCACACCACACACAATCTACAATCATCACTACACCAACCCACCACCTCAACCTACACTCACATAAACCTTATCCCACCTAAACCACAAACTCACCTACTCTCACTTCCTCACTCATCACTCTACAACTCACTCATATCATCTCACTCCTCTCACTCACTCTCTCACTCTCTACATCACTCAACTCCCTACACCTATCCTTCACACAATACCACACACACAAATCACTCTCTACACATCACTAACTCACTACTCACTCCTCACTACTCACCTCACTCATCACTATCATACTCATAAACTCTCTCACTCACTCACTCAACACTCACTCACTACTACTCATCCCTACTACACACTCACTCATACTCATCATTCTAACCATCATATCCCCCAAACCCCAACCCCCTTCACAAACACCACTACAACCCTAACAAACACTTCAAAAACTCCCAACCCACACCCCAAAATCCCCCCCCTCCTCACCCACTACCACCACCCCTCCCCTATCACAACAAACCACCCCACACAAACCCCCCCCCCCCCCCCAAACATCTCACAACAAAACCACAACACAAACACCAAAACACAAAACAAATCCCACAAACACACCCAACTAAACTAACCAAATAAAAAACCTAAACCCTAACATCCCACTTAAACAAACATAACCAACAACTCAACAACAAAAAACCAACAAAAACCAACAAACCAAATCAAACACCCCTCACACCCCCAAAAACCCACCAAACTCCCCAACACCAATCCATCCCCCATCTAAACCACTTAACAACCCCAAACCCACAAACACAAACACCCTCCAATAACCCAATAAAAAACCCCAAAACAAAATTAAAAAACAACCACACACACAATAAAACCACCCAAATATAATCAAACAAACTCATCACCACTTATAAAACAATTTCTCTTTTCTAAACATTATCCAATCAATAAACAACCAACAACCACACCCCCCATACATACTACCACAAAAACATCCAACCCACCCCCCAATACTCCAAAAACACACAAAACCCAAACAAACATCACTTACTATTCCATCTCCAATATCTCTCACTATTAAAACCCCCACCCCAACCCCCACACAAACCCAAAAACATACCCAAAACACACACAAAAAAACATACCAATTCCCACATATAATCCCAATCTAAACAAAACCCCCTAAACAAAATAACAATCATAAAAATATTTATCTTTTCATAAAAAACAACAACACAAACACTACACAAAAAACCAAATAACCTAACAATTATCAAATTACAACCCTTAACACCCACCCCAACAACCCCATACACCATCCATCACAAAACAACCCAAAAAATACCTATCCAAACAAACAACAACCCACACAACAACAACCACAAACAAAAAAAAACAAAAAACACAACAACAACACCAACAACACAAAACACAACAACACAAAAAACAAAAAACAACACAAACACAAACACAACAAACAACAAAACAACAACCCAAACAAAACCACACCAACAACACAAAACACACAACACAACAACACACAAAAACAAACAACAACAACCACAACAAACCAAAACAAACAAAACCACAACCAAACAACAACACAAACCAACAACCACCACCACCAACAAACAAACAACAACACCCACCCACAAACAACAACAACAACAACAACAACACTCAATAACATTACCCCATCCAAAAAAAATTAAAATCAAACATCATAATACTCCCAACTCACTAAAATATAAATCAAACCACACCCCCCCAAAACCCACATACATCCCAATAAATATTTCTTATATTATATATATATCATACTTCCCAAATAAACTAACACAACTACTCATCATTATCTTTAATCCACGCAACATACTTACACTACCAAAATCCCACAATACCCACAAAATTAACATACCCCTCCACTCCCTCAAAAAACATTATTAATTAACCCCACACAAAAATATCAAAACTAACACAACAACT